CTGGGTGGCTCTCCAGCTGGCTGTGTCCTCCTTGGATTGTTTATTCTTTACCAACCCTGCCCTTCCCGTGTCCTTCGGCGGCGGCGGGAGTCGGGAAGCTCATCCGTGGGGGGTTGGGGGACTGGGGATGCTCCGCTGGGAGTGATACCCTGTGTGATCTGTGCTCAGCAGGGAGACACTGCTGGAGGACAGGGGTCCAGCGAGGCAGAGGGGACAGCAGGTCAATGGTGAGGTCAGTGGTTCCTCGTGGCTCAGGGGAGTAGGGGACCCCCAGCTCCAGGGCGCAGCAGTACGTGATGGCAGCAGGACAGAGGTGATGGCAGAAGGCTGGAAGTCAGGGTCAGCACTGGTTGACAAGGACATGACCCCTGGGAAGGCTCCACAGCAAGCAGGGCAGCATGAGGAAGCACTGATGACTGAGCTCTCGGAGCTGGTGCAGAATGTGGTGAAGAGCAGCAGCTGGTGGGAACGGCATGGCGTGGACATCAGCATCCTTGCCTGCAGCTTCCTCCTGCTCCCAGCAGGTAACATGGCTCAATCTGCCCAAATCACAGCCAGGGTGGTCCCAGGGGATCCCTCTGCCTCCTCATGACTGTTCTACTGCTTTGTGCTGGGAGCCTGTTAGCACCTTTTAAGGCTGTAACAAAGTCACAATAACCCCTTCACCCCATGACAGGGGGCACCCTGACCCCACCAGAAACCCACAGTGAGTGATGATGACACCTGGAGTACAGCCTGGGGTGAGGGGATGGTGCCTGGGCAGATGGGCACAGGGCAGGACAGGGAGTGGTGTGCCCCATCCATGCCCCACCATGGGATAGGGAAACCCTGCTGGTTTTGGTGGTAATGGCCTCAGCCATGGTGGGTGCAGGGGGATGCAGTGTGTGTCTCTAGCTGCTGGGACCTTCTCTTACTTTTGAACTCCTGGGAATGCTGAAATCCTGGCAGAGTCCCAGTGGGATCCCAGGCAGAGCTGTGGGGTGGGATCTGGCATCAGCAGCACCCAGTGCCATCGCAGCTGAAAGTGGGCAGACCTTCAGCTTGATGGTGAACGTGGCTGGACCCTGAGTGCGGTGAGGAGGCAAGCTCTTTGGCTTGGGTGATTTAAATACCTGTAACTGCGACTGAAAAACAGGTTTAGGGAAGTGACTGACATGTTTGGGTGTAACAACACCTCCAGCCTGGCTCAGAGGGCTGCAGGTCATGTGCATGGCCAAGCTCCTGCCCGTCTGGTTTCTCCACAGGGTTCCTGTGTCTGCGGTCAGCCCAGGCCATCCCCTTCCTGGTGGGTGTCCTCACTCTTGGCGTGGTGCATCACACCCTGACTGTCAAAGGCAGCCACCTGGCCAGCCACAATGCCTTAACCGAGTCCAAGTCCTGGGGCAAAGTGTGGGCCATATTCTTCATTGAGGTGAGTGGGGCTGTGAGATGCAGGTGGCAGCCGCCCCAAAAAAGCCCCATCAGCACCTTGCCATGCTGGGAATGGTTTCCAGTGCTTAAGTCTTGAAGGCCATTTCTGGACTAGTTTGGAGCCTCTGGGCTGCAAAGCATCTCCCTGGGGTGCATCTTTCTGGTTCCAGAGCATCTCCCCTGGGTTCCTCTCCCATAAGCCCAAGCCAGGCAATGCCCAACCCTGGCGCCATGACTGTAGGCATCACCTCTTCTTTCTCTTCCCTCCCAGCTCTGCTCAGCTTTCACAGCTGAGCAGGCCACCTACAACCACGTGAAGATGCACCATGGCTACACCAATGTCATTGGCCTGGGGGACTCCAGCACATGGAAAGTTCCTTTCCTGAATCGCTACGTCTACATGTTCATCGCGCCCCTTGCAGTGCCCATCTTAACCCCTCTGGTTGCACTTGGTACGTGTCCCAGCCACCTTGGGACAGGATGCTGGGTGCAGGGAGCTCAGAGACTGTCAAGGTCTCACCCCATCCAAGGGTCCTGCTTTGCTTAGAGGCATCACAACTATGCCAGTGGGACACCAGGCTGCAGGAAAGGCAGATGCTGCAGTTGCTCTGGGGATGGCATCTGCTGCATTTCCTTTCTGCTGGTGCTCAGAAAACACTTCAGCTTGGATGCTGGAGGTTTAAAGCTCTGACAAAAGCCATCCTGAACCTGAAGCACCTCAAAATTGCTCTCCTTTAACTCAGACCCTTGGCCTTAGCAGGGTTCCATGTCACACATGGGTCTCAGGCCAGTCAGAGCATCACATGGGGTGTGTTTGATGGCTGTGTATGGGGTGGAGGTGGGGGGTCTGTGGGAGCTTGGACACAAAGAGCTTGCACAGGCAAGTGATGACTCTGGGGAAATAATGGTGCCAGGAAACAATCAAGGAGAAGAGCCCAGAAAGCAGTAAGAGCCTTAGGAAGCACAGTACTTTGGGTTGCATAACTCAGCTCTGCTCAATGCTAAAAAGCATGGACAATGACTTGGCAAGTTGTAAGAAAGGAAGATGCATCCAAATCCCCTGTGCGATGATGCACAACTGGATCTGCTGCCCTGGGGAGACTCTGGGACTGAGCCCCAGAAATCAGCAGGTCTATGGTGTTCGAGCCAACCTGGAAGATGGGGAACGGGAGATGGTGGGATAGAATGGGCTGTAGGATTATTGGCACACTGGACAACAGTGGTGGCAGAGAACTGCCAACACCTCTCCCATATGCTGCCTCTTCTTCCTTGTGCAGATTTGTTGAGGAATGTGGAGTGGAAAGCAGCTCTCCGGACCCTCTGCTGCATGTTCCTGGGTTTTTACTGCCATTACTGGCTGCTGCTCCATGTCTCAGGCTTCCAGTCACCGTGGTCCGCCCTGCTCTGCATGCTGCTCACCCGCTCCCTCCTGGCCCATCCCTACATCCATGTCAACATATTCCAGGTAGAGACCTGAAGCTCCAAGATAATCCCAACAGTGCTGGAGACAGGCCAGCCACCACCCAACGCTGGTGACTTAGCCATGACGCTGCTGGCTGGAGCTTGTGTCACCTTAAGGGGAGTGGGCTCAGTTGTCACCCTCCTTGTGCTGCTGTTGTCACCAGGAGGATCAGTCTGGTGGTGCTAGGTGGAAAGTGGTAGCCTTGGGAGAATGTCGGGGTGCTAAGGGTGAGAGGGTGATGTCCTCTGTGGTGGTTTGCAGGATTAGGGGGGTTGGTGTGTTTGCAGGTGTCAGTGCAGGTGGTGTTACAGGCCCTGGGATGGGGAGAGTCTGTGAGTGTGGGTGCATTGAGGGAACAGAGCCTAAGAGCTCCATGGTGGCTCCATGAACAGATAAGCACAGGATGGAGTGGCTTTAGGGACAAACCCGGCTCTGGGGTTGGCAGAGAAACCCCAAAACATGGCTCAGCCTGTCTGGTCCCTTCATGCCTTCACAGAGCCAGAGCTGTGGTTAGCTCTGCTGGAAGGGACTGGGGGTCTGGTGGGGGCCATGGGGTCTCCACTCTACCTCTCCCACAGCACATTGGCCTCCCCATGTTTGCGGCCGATCGGAAACCCAAGCGGATCCACCTCATGAGCCTGGGTGTCCTCAACCTGCCCCGCAACGCCCTCCTCGACTGGTCCTTCGGCCACTCGCTCATCAGCTGCCATGTGGAGCATCACCTCTTCCCCAGCCTCTCTGACAACATGTGCCTGAAGGTGAGACAGTCCTGCAGGGCGGATGAGTATGTTGGGAGTTGACACAGGGACAAGGCCATCCATCTCCCCACCACCTCCTCTCCCTGCTGCCAGACCTCTCTGTGCTGCTCCCCCCATGCTGGAGTCCTCTTGCTGCTTTGCAACAGCCCCTAACCCACCTCCCTCCATCCTATTCCTGTTTCTTCTGGGTTTGTGCTCCCTGCTCCTTCTCCTGGTCACGGTTCCAGCCTTCCAGCAGTCCGGCATCTCCCAACTCTCCCATTGGGAAAGTGTCCCCAGGATTGCGCAGTCTGTTTTTGGTTCAGCCAGCAACCAGCCAACTCTCCTATCATTTCGGTCATGCCTTTACTTGTTGCTCTGAGGGGTGAGGTGTGTTCAAAACATGGGCTCTGAGCACTGCTCTAGCTCGAGGGGACCCCAAGGCAGGTCCATGCACTGCCCTTCAGCACAGGATCTCCACTTATTTAATGCTGTGCACACGTTTTCAGTGCCCTTTGCTCGAGCTCACGGGGGTGGCAGGACCTGTCTCCCACAAAGGCATGTTGCAGGGGAGGGGTAATTAAGCTGGTGGCAGCCTCCCAGCCCTGCTGCTGAGCTGGCTGTGTGGGCACATGGGATAACTATGGGTGTGAGTGACGAGCATGCGTGGCTGGCTCCCATCAGAAGCCTCATTAGGACATCTCTCCTAATTCAGGGCCCTGCAAGGGCATTTTACCAGGGTGAACTCCCTGTGCTGCTGCAATTGGCAACCACCTTCCTAGTCATTTTCATGGCAAAGATGTTATAGCTGGTGCTGCCTTTTCCAGCCCTGTTTTGGGCATGTGGGATAGGTTTTCTAGGCATCTTTCAGGGATGCCTCAGGCTGGGAATGTTGTACACACACCAGGGTGTCCCACACAGAGATGACATTGCCTTTGCCTTTGCAGATCAAACCCATTGTCTCCCAGTACCTGAAGCAGAAGAAGCTGCCATACAACGAGGACACCTATGCCTCCAGGTTCCGGCTCTTCCTCCAGAGATACGAGGAGCTGATGGTCCATGCTCCCCCCATAACGGAGCTGGTGGGCATCCAGTGAGGACAGAGCTGCAGGACTCGGGGGCTGTTTCCTGCAGGGACTTGCAGCAGGGATGGCTTTAGCAGGATTGGGGTACACAGACAATTGCCTCCATGAAGCCATCGCAAAGGAAACATCACTCACCGACGTCTTGCTCTCAGCTAGATAATGGTGCATGGAACCACCTCAGGAGAAGAGCCAAGTGGTGCAACACCAGGAACAGAAAAATCAGGGTCCCTCACAGTTATTCCCAGCAAGAGCTTAGTTTTATCCACTCTGCTTTCACGCTTGGCGAGAGGAAATCCCCCATTGGTGGGGCATGTGGCACCTCGGCATCGGGAGCTGAGAACCACTGGGATCCATGGGATGGAGCTGCAACTGTGTGGTCAGGGGCTCAGGGAAAGGGTGGATTGTGGGAGGGGGTTGTGTCACTGCTGCTTGTGCTTTGCCTGACTTTGGGCTAAATCAGTCCCTTCTAGGAACAATCATTTGGCAAATTCAGCCTTAACACATTGAGATGGATTTTCTTTATGACTGGGTTTTGTTGCTGGAGCAAGTCATACTGGTACCCAGCAGGGCTGGGGGAAAGACCCTCACTCCATGGAGGCTATCTGTCTTGGGGTGCTAGAGGTGTCCCCACACCTGGTCATAGCTACTGCAAGAATTAGTCAGGGGAATCACCTCCTGAAGGTGGGAAGGTCTCCAGGGCTTGAGAGGCTTTTCCTGTTTAGGGAGGGTGGACTCAACCCACTGTGCCACTGCCAGGGTCTGGGATGCTCACGTGGCTGGTCCCAACCCCCTTTGGGATGCAGTGCCAGGCTTTCCCAGGGTGCCCTGCTGTCCCAGACCTGCAGGACCAATGACAAAGTCCAGTTCAGTGTCCTGGTGGGGAGATGGCAGCAGAAAGGGCAGCTGGCCAAGCTGGGACCAGTGTGGGTCAGTGGTGGCTCTGGGCTGTGCAAGGCTTTGCTCTGTGCCTGGGGTTTTACTCCCTGATTAGGGCTGGACCCTCACAGCTCTGCAGCTGGAATTTATAAGGTTCCACAGTGCCAATGCATCCCAAGGCACACAGGAATGTGTCCCCAGGAATGCTCTGACCTGGTCCTGGCAGAGTGATGGTTGCAGCAGGCAGCCTGTGGTTTTTTCCCTGTTGTGAGCATCCCATACTCCTTTCTCTCCGCCGAGTGCAGGGACATCCTCAGACTCACTGGAGAAGTGTCCCTGTGTGGCCACCGTGACATGAGGCCAGAGCCAGGATGGCCATGGCATGTCCCTATGTAACAGATTCAGACTCAGGGTGGGGAAGATTGTACCTGTATCCATCCAGTGTGACCCCTTTGGCATCAGAAGTGGGGAATTACTGATTTATTCTGGTCTGGGACCCAGAGAATGCTGATGCACTGCTCTAGTGACATTGCCACATCTATCTGTCTATCTGGGTTCATCGATCCAGGACATTGTGAAACATCCACAGGGCAAATTCCTGTCCTTTGAGTGGGGGTTAGTCTGAGTCTATAGCGAGGGAGAAGCTGCTGTCCTTTGAGTGGGGGTTAGTCTGAGGCTATAGCGAGGGAGAAGCTGGGAGGGTTTGGCTGGACCAAATGGCCCAAGAACTCCTAAGGAGTCACTCAGGGGTGGCTGAGACCCTTCCCCAGAGCTGCCCTCCTGCCCCTATGATTAATCTCCCAATAGAACATCAGGGCTAAATTAAGGAAAATGTGCCAAATTAAGAGTGTTCTGGCTCCAGTGAGGGGATGAGAGTGTGTTAGTGATGCTTTTGGGTCAGAAGGAGTAATCTCAGCCTCACGTTTTCCTGTCTGTGGACACAAAAATGCTCTTTCTCCTCTCCTGTTGCAGAGATTAGTCCCAAAATGTTTCCAGTCGTTGGTTGGGGCAACAGTCCTTTTCCTAGCTGGAATTCATGGATACTGTTTAACGCAGTGCCATCTAAAGGCAAGTGCCCGCAGGTCCTTCAGCCAGCGGGAGGTGACTTGAGGAATAGGTGGATCATTCCCTTTCAGAAGTGAAAGATACAGAAGTTAAGGGGGGAGGGAATGGAGAATTCTGGGGGAAAAAAAAGAGAATTCTGTGCTGAGAACAGCCCAAATTTCAACTCTTTTTGTGGATGACATCCCTGGTGTTATTTGGAGCTGAGCCTCCAACCTCGCCTCTCCGGGCAGTGGAGCAGTGATTGCTGTGCCAAGGTGAGGCTGGAGGCTTGGAGCTGTCGGGAATCCTGACCCTTGCCTCAAACACCCCGAGGGAGCGGGTGCAGATGAGGCACACAGCCAGCTGCCACTCTCAGAGTGCCTTTGCAGGAAGCCATCAGCTCATTTCCCAGAGCATGAGGGAAAACGTGTGGGTTTTATGACCCGTGTTATAACCGGCTTCTAGCTGTAAACTCCTCTTGGTCTTAATTGCATTTAAAAAGCCCCATCAATGCTCTCCTGCGTGCTCTGGCATCTGTCCAGCTCTGGAACATCTCCTGGACCTGCTGAGATGGTTCTTCTGACTGGTGTGTTGTGCAGGGGCTGAACCAAGACAGGATGATGCTCCTGCATGGGAGGTGTGAGCAGTTGCATTTGGAATGAGCTGAGTGATGGGGATTAAGGATTAATAAAGCAGAGACCAGGGGGAGGGTGGGGCAGGAGCTCTGGCAGCAACATTTATCCTCTCCTCTGGTACTAATGTTTTATCCTTGATTGAGGCGATGCTCTGGGTTTCTCCTGGCAAGATGCGGACGGCTGTGCAGTTAGATGATTAAAATCAACCAGAGCTTCGGTTTCCCAAGGGAGACGTCGGCAGTTGATCGCTCTTGGCAATTAAGGCAATTAGCAGCCGCGGGGATGCTGCTGCTGCGGGATCCGGGGACCGTGGGGGTCTCACCAGCGAGAGCGGCGGCGCGAACGGCCGCGCAACGGCCGCTCCCGCCCTCCTCTCTGTGGTCCCGCTCGTGCCCGCACTGCCGCCATTGGCTGTGGGGAGGGGCGTGGTTACGCTAATCAAGGCTGTGTACCGCTCGCGATTGGTCAGCTGGAAGGGGGCGGGGTTATGCTAAACACGGGGGCGTGACGCATCGCGATTGGTGGATGTGGCAGA